CCGACTCTGCTGAGCACAGGCCCGATGCAGGGTTCCATCTCAAGACCTTGAGATCACAACCTGAGCTAAAGCCAAGGGTCAGATGCTTAACCAACTGTGCCACCCAGGCACCCTGAGAAAGATTTTTAAATTCGTGTCAGCTTTCCTAATGCAATGGAATATTAAATAAATAATACGGTGTCTTTAAACATATTTCAAGATCCATGTGGCTATCAGCAGGGGTCATCAAAATTGAAAGGTACCAGCATCTACTCCAGTCCTGGAATGCCTGGGTGGCTCATTCTCTTAAGTGTCTGCCTTCAGCTCAGGTCATGATCCTAAGGTCCTGGGATCGAGTCCTGCATCGGGCTTCTTGCTCCCTCTGCGTACTCTTTCCCCCTGCTTGTTCTGTCTTTCTCTCTCTGACATAAATTTAAAGAATAAAGCCAGTCCTCCTTAGTTGAATTTTATCAAGTAGACCTAGGACAGCAGTCTGCCCCCCAAATGACCCTTTACCCTAGTGATCAGAGCTCCCATACTATTTTATTGGAAACATCTAGAAATGTTCTGATTACCCAGGAAGTAGTATCATATAGTGGGACAAACTGATGTACGGGGCTTTTGGAAAATGGAAAGAACAGTGGTTTGGCTGTTCCAGCTGATTCTAAGAGTCGTTTAAGCTTAACTGCACAGAGTTCCTCTTCCCCTTTGCCCAGCACTTGAGTTTTCATTCAGCCTTGTTTCAGCCAAGTTTAACGTAATTTTGAAGGGGGTCAGAGGATGCCCTAGGTTTGTTTTGTAATTCTCTTCACTATGTCAGGATAGGCTGGGTTATACTACAGTGAAAAACAGTCTCCAAATGTGTGGTTTAAAACAACAAAGGTTTATTTCTCTTGTAAAATCCAGTGTGGGTTTACGTGTGTCTCTCTAGGGGAGCTGTCCTACCCAAGGTGGCTTCGTACCTCAGATTGTTTTGATCTTGAGGCACCTCTGTAGTAACACAGGTCTCCTTGTTTCCGTGGCAAGGTAAGAGTGGCCTGGATGTGATGCCCATTTCTTCTGCCAGAACTAGTCACATGGTTACCTAACTTCAAGAGGGTGGGGAAGTTGAAACCCCTGTGTCTAGAAGTCCACGACTTCTGGTTATCAGGGAACATTGCTAACAACCTGCCATACCATTCTAGAGTGGTGGCCATTGTAGGAGTATATATGCTTTTGAAATCCTTCTTAGTGAAAGCTGGTATGTGATTAGAGGTTCTAGAGGTACCAAGTTTTCCAGGTCACGGGACCAGGGTGGTGAAAGAGCCCAGGGCGTCAGTCAGTTGTACTTAGAAAACATGTCACCGTGGCTGGTTTAACCTCTCTGACCTCTGGTTTCTCATATTCAAAGTGCTGGCTCTCATTTCTGCTGCATAGAATTGTAAAGACTAAGTAATAGCCCCGTGCTTGGCACAGTGCCTGGCATCCAGGTCATGTCAAATGGCAGACATTTTTATTCCTGTTGAAGTAACAGAGTCTTATTCTATTTTATGGAGAAGCTGAATTTCCAGGTTCTTCAGAATTACTCTTGGTACCATCATTATTCACATATCCGAAGGCTTTCTCATCACTTGTTCCTAAAAAGCTTTTGTCATGCTACATCCAGCACTGACGTCCTGCAAGAGGCAATTGAAGTAAAGGAGCTGGTGAATGGCAAAGACATTGTACAGCTTGAGCTTTTTATTCCAATAACTGCTTATTTTTTTAAGAATAGATGCTATAAGGATTCTCTCAAATTAATTGGTTACATAGCAGCTTTTAAGGAGTTTTTCAGCACACCATATATTAGACCAAAAGTCTTCTTTTTTTTTTTTTTCCTGCCAAGACACGCATGATGAATGCGCAGCAGTGTCCCAGGTCTCCCTGCTGGCATCCTGGCTTTATGGCCCTTTACAAAGCTGTTGCAGTGTGAACGAGAGTAACATTGTTAGAGGCACAATCTTGAATCTGTTCTGATGTCTGAAAAGTTGCTCATACTCAGTCTTTCGAATGTCCATATTATGATGAAGTACTTACAGTAGGTTTCCCAGTTGTCATGACATTGTATTTGATAACTACCTTTAGGAAGTTGTACTTTCCAATAATATGACAACCCATCACTGCTGGACACAAACACTGGAACTTAAGGATGAGGTTCTTGAGCAGTGGACTTGATGCCCAGGGGGTGCCATTCCTGTCTTAGTCTTTGTGGAGAGCAGCCGCTGGAGCTGCACAGTACACAGTGGCCCTGCTTAGAAGGGTAGCCCTGTGACCCCTAGCCAAGGTCAAATTCTTCCCGGTCCGAGGAAAGAGGGAAGAGGAGGGAAGAGATCCCAGAGTTTGCAAAATGCTGCAGAGTAAAATTGAGTTGCTGGATGGAGACCTAGTTCCTAGCATGCCCCATCCTCACCAGACTGTTGGGATGTAGGGTAGGGAATGGGTTTATGCCAGTAGCTGTCAACGTTATTGTGGAATCTAGTACATCGGTGTTATAATCAAATTTGCTTAAATTAACTCAACCCCTAAATCTTTTCAAGCACATTTTTAAGCAGAAGGTTCTGTTAGCCTGTGATAGCGTATTACTGATAGACCCACACCTCTAAACTGCTTATCAAAAATTGACAGAGGTAAAAAAAAAACAAAAAAAAAAAAACCAGCAACAGCAACAAAAACCGTGAAGGTTTTCGTTTCCTATCCATATAACAAAAATAGTACGAACTTAAAAACCTGCTGTGGAACCCTTGCTTAAAGCAACATAAGGCCCTGTTTATAACTTAAATGTGGACTCCAGGTTTCCATTTCCACAGCTGTAAAATTAAAGAAGAGGCCTGAATGGTCCACTTGCCTCCCTTCCTTTACATCTCTTTGAAGCCTGTCTATTCCTAATTGGCTCTTTCTTAAGATGATTCCTTGCGGTAGCTCAGTAACTCATGTATGACTCTGGGAGCAAGTAAATGATACAATACTTGGGAAATTAAAGGCAAGGGGAAAAAAAAGTCCGTCCAAGAGGAGGAAATGGGAACACAGGCCCCCATGCTGAAGTAGAACGCCCACCCTTTACTCCTCCCCAGACCTCAGCTGCTTCCCCCGCCCTCCTCCCTTCTCAGCAACTGCCCGTGTCCCACATCCCTGAGAAGGTAAAATGGTAAATGATTCATGTCCTCGCTCTCTGACACCCCATTTGAAAACTCATTAGGTTTAGTTTTGACAGATGTTCAACCAGTAAAGGCTAAGGGAAAGAACTAGGCAGCACATTGTAGACCCTGACCAGAGATGTCTTTGAACTGAGAAAGTGTATGCAAAAGATTCCTCAGTGGGGCCATGTTGGTATTTTGGACAAAGCAATTTTTTTTTTTTTGAAGATTTTGTTAATTTATTTTAGAGAGAGCCCGAGAGAGAGGGAGAGGGATAAGCAGGCTCTCCACTGAGCAGGGAGCCCCACGTAGGGCTCAATCCCAGAACCCTGGGATCATGATCAGAGCCAAAGGCACATGCTTAACGGACTGAGCCACCCAGGTGCCCCCAAAGCAGTACATTAGCTATTTAGAATCTTTCCCCACCCCCAATGCAAATAGCAGTTCACTGTGCTTATGGCAACCAAAATGGCATGACACGATTTGAGAACTGCTGTTGGGAACTACAGTTCCAGTCCCTCCCCAGTACTACCTCTGGTTGACAACCTCTCATGGAGGACTTGCCACAGTACAAGCTGGAGAGTTGCATGGAAGACTGGGCTAGGGAGAGGCATACCTGCCGTGGACGTGTGTGTCTTGGGTACTGGAGTCTGGGACCCAAACATTGAGGTGGTTGGCACGGACCTCCTACAGACTACATAGAATAGGTAGCCTCCTGGATCTCCCAATGTCAGAAGACTTAGACCAAAATGACAGTGACCTATAATGTTTTAACAGATCTATCATATCTATGCATGTGAACTGTGTTCTTGCAGCCCAGCACTGATGATGCTGTCATGCCAACAGCTAGTAGGTCACCAAACACCACGTGCTGGGTGCTGTGCTCGCGTCCTCACCACCGTGTAAGCGGTTGATGATCTCCATTCTACACACGTGGGATCTACCGCTTAGAGACAGGAAGCAGTTTTCCCAGGTAGTGGAGTTAGGATTTGAACAGAGAAGTCTATCCAGTACCAGAGTCTGTGCTGCACTCACAGTGCTGCAGGGACTGGAGCGCATGCCTAGCACTTGACGAGGCCTGAACACGACACACTGGCTGAATTTAGAAACAAGGGAAGGAACCAGCTTCAAAACCAAGTGAAGTAAGAAGACATCAGCCAACTCTCAGAACAATCCACCCAGAGATGACTTGGTGCTGGTGCTGTCAAGGAGTGCAAGGTGCTTCACAGCTCTCAGGGGGTCTTTATCCTTGAGAAATGCAGTTCGGATGTGACTGATGAGAATACCATAAGGCCGTGCCATGCTGTAGGGCTGAAGCGATGAATTCACAGCAGGCCCAGATAGATTAAATAACGAACCAAACCGTGTATAGCTTGGACTATCTAGTGGAAAGATGATCGAGCTCCCGTAGTGAGTGCTGCCCTCCCTTAGAGCAGCGCCCTCCGTCCGTGGAGCACCCTGCCGAGTCTCTTCTCTCCATTTCTTCTTTTGGCTCCAAAATTCTTGGTGTAGTTAAGATAAACAGAACTCCCCCCCCCCAAAAAAACCCCCAGAACTCCCATTCTTAGCTGTATCTTTATATATGAAAGCCAACGATACATAGCATTCTTCTGGTAGGAAATAAATATTACGGAGAGTTGACAATTTAAATTATGTTGCCTTCCAGATTTAGAATGGCATTTTATGTTATTTAAAGGAAGAAGAAAAGAGGTTTCTCATTTCCTTTTACGGTAGCAAGAACAGTCCTTACCTTTTATTGTACCCACAAGCAATACAGTATCATTGGGGCAGCAACAGGGTCTCTCTCATTGCTTTGGCTCTTTTCCCCTTCTTTTAATTTTGATAACTGATTTTTTTTCCTTCTTTCAGATGAAAGACTTTCGAAGTAAAATGCAGTCAATATTTCCAGCAATTCCCAAGAACTCAGAATCGCCTCTTGAGTGGGAGGAAGCATTGAAATCCAAATGAGATGAGCATGGTGGGGAAAGTCTAAAACAAACGTCATGGAGAGGGTGGCTTTGGAGATGTCACAGAAGCAAAGGGACTCCCCTGATTTATCATCAGGGACATGTGCATTGCTGACCGAACCCACGGGACGGATGGCGTTCAGTGCTGCACAGGAGGCCTATAGTCTGTGCGCTTTACTTTAAAATTGGGGTGTGGGTGTGTGTGGGTGTGCGTGAAGGTTTTCCCAAAATTAGGAAGATTCTTGCAAAATAATTATATGGATAACCTCTCGGTGGAGAAGATCCCAAGGGAAATCCTTCTGTTTACAAGGGCTAAAACCAAGTTTTGTACCTGGGGGAAAAATAAACGTGTAGTTAACAGATGATGGAAAATCTTTATAGACAGACTCCTAACACCACTAGTACTTCACTGTGTCTAATTAAATGAGTTTCCACAGCCTTTCTTGTTGGATGTAATTGTCAGGGCGTGGAAGGCTTGCTGCTCTTAGGCCCACTCCACAGTGACAGGTTCACAGGGAAACCCTGTCTGTCAGGCAGCGGGTGTGGCTCTGTCATCTGGAACATAGCCCTGGGTTTGCTCCTGCTTGCCAGGTAGCTGATGAGCTCACCCCAAGGCCCTGGAAATTCTCAGACATAGAGAAGAAGCCAGGAACAGATTATGATAACCCAAAGAGACAGTCATGCTAAAATAATAATTGTGGATATAAATTGTGCTTTTTTGAGGAGTTGGTTCTGTGTTCCTAAACATTGACTAATAGTTTGTAGTTTTAACTCAATTGTTAATGTAAAAATAGGCCAGTTACCACCTAGCTTAACAAATATTTTTAACCAGAAAGTTACTGAGGTATTGAGTCTCAGTATTAAGTACTGCCTCCTGACGGATTCTTTTTTTTTTTTTAAAGATTTTATTTATTTATTTTATTTATTTATTTTTTAAAGATTTTATTTATTTATTTGTCAGAGAGAGAGAGAGAGCGAGCACAGGCAGACAGAGTGGCAGGCAGAGGCAGAGGGAGAAGCAGGCTCCCCACAGAACAAGGAGCCCGATGTGGGACTCGATCCCAGGACGCTGGGATCATGACCTGAGCCGAAGGCAGCTGCTTAATCAACTGAGCCACCCAGGCGTCCCAAAGATTTTGTTTATTTATTTGACAGAGAGATCACAAGCAGGCAGAGAGGCAGGCAGAGAGAGAGGAGGAAGCAGGCTCCCCTAGAGAGCAGAGAGCCCAATGCGGGGCTCGATCCCAGGACTCTGAGATCATGAACTGAGCCGAAGGCAGCGGCTTAACCCACTGAGCCACCCTAGGCGCCCCCTCCTGATGGATTCTTACACACAGGCCCACCCTTTCCTGTCCTCCATGACCTCTCAGAGAAAACAGAGGATAATGTCTACGTGCAATTATTTTTACTGGAGATGAACATTTTTTAAAGAAAGTACTTTAATATGTCAGTATATCCCAAAAAATATGGTTGGATATCAGTAGTGCAATTTCTTTATAATTAATTAGGCTTTAATTAGCAATCAGGTTTAATAAGGTACATTTGAAATTTTTCTGTTATAATGAAACCTTTTAGTGCTAAGGAAAATTTTTAAATGAAATGTCAAGTGCATAATGTAACATTTTTCTCTGGACCACGTTACCCTGTTAAAGTTGCTGTATTGTTAATTAATTAAACAGGTGTAAGCAGCATCTGGGATCATATGTAACCCGTTAAAAATCCAGGACTAAAAGGAAAGAAGTGTGGAATTTATCAGGGCGTATGGAGTAGCAAAAACTCTTCGCCCAACTTTCATTTTTAACTAAATCTCTGCTAAGAAAAGATTCCTAGCCTCTGAATGGGATGAAGGAAGGAAAGGCCAGAACCAAACTGAACAGTTTGTGTTCCTATTACTGGCCTGAGTCTAGGAGCAGGGTGGGTGTGCTCTGTTCCCCCATGGCCTGGCACATGGGAGGCCTGAGGAATGAATGTTTGGACACATACTTCTGAGACATGACTCATGTTTACAAACCCTTTCCATACGTCTTTTGTCCTTGAGGGATGGCAGGGTGGCCCCATAAGAATGATCGTGAATCACCTGCTGAGGGAACGTTGACATGGGGACAGACTCCCTAGGCTATACCAGTCATAGGCTCCCGTCGCATTTGAAAAGCAGAAATGGAGTAACGAAACTCAGAGTTTAAAGGAAAACAAGCAGTGTGATCGAAGTGGTATTTTTCTATAGTCAGAACTCAGATATCAGAAGATTTAGTCACTTGTCTATTCCCTTTATACCAGAGGCATATTGTTAAATTGGTTAATGGAAAGGAAAAATGTTGAACAGATAATGTTATTCTTTATGTGAAGTACCATCTGTGTATTGAGTTCTGAATGTTCCGGGATATGGAAGAGAGGAAATGTTATGGAATTTCAAGTTTGCCTTCTTTGCTGTCTTTATCTTGGGTAGAGTATGACAAACATAATCACATTTATCTCCTGGAGCATAAAGAGTTTTAATCACCCTATTAACCAGGATGACATTTTTCACAGACTTAAAAAGGAATAGAACAGACATTATCTCCCCATAAGCAATCCATTTCATGGAGGCTGAGCACTAGAAATTTTTTAAAGGATGGATAACACAAGCCATTTCCATTTCATGCGTAAGCCCACATTAAGGCAGCTTTCCCTAAGAATGTTGCTTACCCTTGTTGAGTGTTAAGCTTTACGTTTAGAATCTCAGCACCAAAAGAGCTATTAGAGAAAGCAATATAGAGAAAATGTGATGGGCAGGGAGGGGCGACTTCCCAGGCCTTGGGATTCATTCACGGGGGAAAAAAAAAACAAAACACAACAACCAACATGTATTCCAAGAGGTTATTGCTACCCTGTAAAAACGTATCCATGGGCTGCTGTTACCTTCAGAGTCAAGAAAATACGATTTCTAAATAACCCCAGAATGAAAAACAAGGCACGGAAAGGACCTCATGCAATGCCGAGCTGCCTTTCGCTACAAGAAACGGGGATTCTGATGATCAGAGTTGGGAGTGAACCACTGTGCGGCCCAGCAGCGAGGAGGCGTGACCACAGGTGACCCTCATTCCGTCGCACTGACTCAGGTGACATCGGAAAAACCTCGCTCGGTGCTCAGTCAAAAGGTGGCATCTGATCACCTCATCTGTCATACATTGCTTTGTTTCATGGACAGTATGGGACTCAACTTGCAAATTAATCATGCAACCTAAGGGGAAAATGTAAGAAATTAAGAAGAAAAAAAAAAAGCCCATGGGGACAAAAGTAATTAAAATCCACTGAATTTAGCTATTTCACTGGGGGCAAAATTTAATCTCTCCTAGGTTTGGTTCATGAAGAATGTTGTATATTGTCACCAATTTTCATGTATCTTCTTTAAAAATAGAGCAAACAGTTAAGTATAAAGTAAAATCAGCCAGGTAAACTATAAAATTATTTCTCCAAATAGTTAAATTTCTCACGAAAGGCAGTAAAATACAGATTTTTATAGTATATTATCATATTCAAGTGAGATGCTTTTCCTTTCTGCCAAGAGTCATTGAATAATATGTCAAGGATCGGGGTCTCTATATCGGTGTTATCAGGATTAATTATCAAAGGCGGTGCTTATATAAGGGGAAAGTGAGCATCTCTTGCAGGCATTGACATTCATCTGTAATAATGAGTGAGGCTGTTAGCAAATTTTGTCTGAAGGCAGGCAACTCAGTTTGGAAGAAAATTAGACCAAGAAGCACATAGAGCTCAACTTTCCTGCCCAAGCAGTGGAGTGACTCAGGACCTAATTTGCATTTCTCGAATAAGCTTGCCTCATTATCATTTGGTGAGGCACGATCCCTTAGTAAAAAGAAAGAAAACAAGAGTGAACACAGGCAAGATATCATGTAAATGTTCTCAATGATGAAGGGTGAAGGCCATTTTTTCCCTTAAGATTTTATTTATTTTGTTAGTAGGAGCAAGCATGAGTAGGGGTGGGGATAAAAGGGTCAGAGAGGGAAGGAGGTTCCCTACCGAGCAGGGAGCTTGATGTGGGCCTAAATCCCAGGACCCTGAGGTCATGACCTGAGCAGAAGGCAAAGGCTTAACCAACGGAGCCTCCCAGGAGCCTGTAAAGGCCTGGTGAAGCTGACCGATGACCGTCCCCTTCTCACCCATGCTGACCACATCTCAGCCACCAAATCTCGAGAACAATAAAAGTCACGTCACAATGAGGAAGGAGTAGCATCTGCACTGGGTTCTGGGACCTGGCAGTGGTTGCTAATTCCCAGTCTCAGGACCAGACAGTCCAAAAATTAAACATCAAAAGCAAAATCCTAATGCATTTACCTTCTCCGCATTACCTTCTTCGAGTCACCGAGCAAGAAGAGATAGAAGATGAGCCAAAGGACAAGTATTACTCAGGATGACCCCGTGTGGGGCCGCAGGGGTGGCCCAAGCAGAACCCATTTGGGCTCCCAGAAGTAATGACAGTGAAACGTTCTCTGAACACAAAAGATTAAAAAAAAAAAAAAAAATCCTGGTGCTTCTCACTTCATTTTAGAGACTTCACTCTCTAGCAACAGCCTCTAGACATAAGGCTCCCCCTCACCTCTGGGCGGAGGAGGTTTATTTTGTAGTCGGAGCCGAGCTGAAGTTTGGCTCCGAGTCCCCAGGACGCGCACACACGCCCCGTGGGCTGCCCCCCCACACCCCCGGCCCGGACAAATGAGACCTAGACCACCTCCCCGGGACCCCAACCCCACTTAGCAAGAAGCCTAATAATTCTACCTAATCTACCCAATTTGTGCCTTCGGGGTAAGCTAAGTCGGTCACACGCAAATGACCCCGCGTGACAGCCCCGCGGGTCAGCCGCTCTGGGTTGCTCCTGCTGGGAGGCCGCGACCACTGCCAGCCAAGCGCGGGCTGGCAGGCTAGTACCCTCCCTCCCGGTCGCCACGCGTGACATGGCTGCCGGAGTGGAAATCAGTAGCATCTCAGATACGCGACAGCCGAGAGTCCCAATGGGCCTGTGCCGTCCTGACCCGGTGCGGTGACTGGATCCGCGGTGGCTCCGGACGCAGACATCACCCTCAAAGCAGCCGTTGGCCCAGTAGCAAGGTGCGCGCAGCGGGTCAGTGCTCAGACCCCCGGCGCCGGTCAGCCTCAAGGCATTGCAGGGGAAGATGCTGCCTCCCACTCGGCCTGTCCACTGCCTCCCCCAGACTGTCCCTTGTCTTCCAGGGGCTCCTCCACCCCTGCAGGAGCACCTGGGGAACAAGACCGGAGCTGATCCTGTGCACAAGCAGAGGAACATTGACTCCAGCCTGGGGAAGCCTTCCCAATGCCTCACCTGGCACATGGTCAAGGCCAGGGGCGGGGTGGTCAGAGTCCTTGGATTTTGGATCCCTGCTCATGTTGCCCAGGTGTCCTGCACCACCCCCTGCGGAGACCTGTTCACGTCTGTCTTCTCGGGGGTTGCTTCTGGTGGATCCAACCCCAGGATCAGCCCCAGCTCTCTGAAAGGAGACAAGTGAGCCGCATGTTGGCAGGTTAAATTAGCCTTTGCCCTGTGTTTCTTTTCCTTTTTTCTTTCAGAACAAGGATCGGTTGATGTGAATGAGAGATTTTGCAAACCTCTTTGGAGGTTCATGTAGTGGGATCCTCTGGGTGGCCCATGAGCACTGCCCAGAGCCCTTCCTCAGCTAGCAACATCCTTCCCCGTCTTGGGGAGTCACTTCCCGAACCTCGTCCTTGTTCGTAGTGAGTTACTAAGGGTCGATTCAGTAGTGATAGGCCAGTAAACATTTTCTCCGCAGCTAAAACTCCTTTATGATCAACGCCGGTATAAACATTTAAAAAATTCTTCACAGAGTACCCATGTCACCA